ATTAAGGTTTTCTGCAAAACCGATCAGAAAACTAAAAGTTTGTAATCGAAAACGCAAAAAACCATAATTTTCTGATGGTTTCCATCTTTTCTGACAATAATAGGGTCTTTTCAGCCAAAAATTACAAAATTAAATTTGCTAGAAAATTCGCCAGTTTTTTACCGAAAGTCCTAATTAAGATTATCTTGAAAAAACGGCCAGGGAGCAAAAGTTTACAAAAAAATTATTTGGAAAATTAKYCGKCCACATCGYTCTGAAAATATTTAGTTTCTTTAAATTTTCAGRTCATTCTGGTTTTTTAAAGCCACAGATGATGATGATGATTCTAGTTYKTACAAAGTCGCTATTAAGCAATTCTTTTTACGCAAAARTCGCASTAWTATTTAGTTAAAATACTGACAATTTTYAGGTATTTTYTGTAAAAAAATATWCGATARATTTTATTGGAGCACTGGCCTCCTTAACTGCTTTGCAAAARTTTTTGGAAAACYTTTGGCAGCTTCGAATTATGGACAAAAGAATTAAGCCTAAGAATTAATTCTGGGTAAAATACTGGCAAACTGAATCCTTTATGCGAAAAATTAAGAGATCGATTTTACAAGAAAACTCGTCGACTATCTTTGGAMYCGCTTCTGTTGCTGGGAGAATCCAGAWTACTTTTTTTTACAAAGTTTTTTACAAGCTGTTTGAACAWAGTAGTAAAACGTTACACAGAAAAAATGTTGATTTTTTTTAGAGGTACAAATTCTAGTCGCGGGTTTCGTAAAGCTGTAATAAATGACTTATAACTCATTAACCGATGAGTTAAAACTCSTTAACTCAGAGAGCGGCAACAACTCAATAACGCAAYTCAACACAGTGTTACCCAGGCTTATATGCAACACTAAGCAGCAGGAGAGTGTATTGAGGGTCCCATAGCTGCCAGTTTATTTCAGGTTTCATCTGTTCGCTGAAAATATCCTGCTGATCCTGAAAGGACAATAAAGGGTAGTTTATCGTGTTGTGCCTACTGACACAATTTTTGGGCCATTGGTAAATTGAATTTTGAAATAATTAAGTGGTGAAATTTAGCGATTCCTCAGATAATTGAAGTGGGATTTAAACCGGTGAGTAATCCTGCTTATATTTATAAATATAGACATCTCGACTTACAGTGAGAATATTTTGAGCTATTTTTATTAGGTCATGTAAAATATTCCATGTAACACCCTTCGAAGAAATGCTATTTTAGATTTTTGCCATTATGCATTTGCCTACGTTCATTTCATCTTATTCAAACTAAAGTGCATGCAGCTGAAGCACATATTTTTACATTTTTCCAGACTAGCCAGTGAGCAGCAGCATTCACTCGACACTATTTGCATTTGTTCGCTCAACAGCGAATTTTTCAGTTTTTCCAGCACATCAGATAGTTAGAAAAAACATGTTCACCTTATGGTACACAGTTCTGTCCTACAAGGAATATCGGTAAGTACTCGTGTTGATTTCATGATCTGGACATTTACCAGTAAAAAAATGGTTCGTTTTCTTTTAAGAAGCTGTTTAAGTACACTGGTTGTTGAAAACTATTCAATTTTCATGTTCACAGTGTGGCAAATTTTTAAAAATAATTTTAGCTAATTTGTTAAGAGCTGGCTGATATACAGAGTGATTCAATTTTTAGTCGAAAATGTCACTCAGATAAGTAGAAAATATTATATAAGCCGAGGCCCGCAAAAGCACACTTTATAATTTTGCAAGTAATTTCAAGCAGGCAAGGAATTTTTACAACACAGTTAATCAATAGCACAAAAAACCTGAACAAAGTTTCCGATTTTAGCAGCCGACCTAAGTTTATATGAACTTTTCCGGTTGTTTTTGCCAGTTTTTTTCGCCCGGATTACCTTGAACGTAGCGCATCCGCCACTTAAAATTTTCAAGTACCTAAAGAACATTTCCTAATGCAATGAATGCAATGGAATTAATTTAATTAAATTTACAAGCTCGTGACACACACGCTATTTACGGTAGTTGTTTCATGATTCATGGGTGTCTGCACTGAGTCATCAGCCGCAGGTACAAGAGGAATAACGCGCGTTTTTCATAGACCATCATTAGTGATTCTCCAGAACTTTTATAGCTATGTAAATTCCATACAGTGTCAACGAACTAGTATATTTATAAACAGTACTATTCGTGTGAGACACTTATTAGGGTCTTTCATATTAATGATGCACAATTTACTCGGGTACGGTTTCCGAAAATAACTCAAAAATGTCGTTGCTTCAGTTTATTTTGTAAACTTCTGGCGGATTGTTAGGAAAAGTAAAAGACACTTAAAACAGAATCAATGCTTACTTACTTGATGGCCGAAATCTTGTGCTTTCAGTCATGTTTTTTGGTTATTTAATTTGATTTGCTTTTATTGTTTATTTTGGTTTATTTTTCAAGACATTCAATTTGGGAGAAATTGTCCTCGAAAAAAAGTCCAGGACCGAAGGAAACCGCAATTGTTTGCCCATTGCCTCCCAAAAAGAATGAGCCACCATCTAGAATTCCTGTAGTGGAACCTCAACCTCCGAAGCCGTCTCGAACGCCCTCACCCCTCATACCTGTCCAACCTCCTTCTCCTCAGCCGCAGCCGAAGCCCCAACTACCCGCCACTCCTCCAACACCTCCTGCACCTGCCGCAGCAAAAATGGAACCTCCATCCAAACCTCCTCGTTCTCCTTCTCCTCATCCTATAAGGGCTGAGGCTTTTGACGACATCGACTACGAGGATGAGAGTGATGAGAGCAGCGAACCTGAAGAGGAAGACTCAGTTTTGGCCACTCCTCAGAGAAAACCAGTAGCAAAGTCGGTTAATGACTTTATTGATCGGGAGAAGACAAATTAATTGTTATCATTTGTTGCCTGTTTTTTAATTGCAATTATTTCTTTAATTTTTAGTTTTTTTACTTACGAAGCTTTTGGTTTAAATGCAGAGTACTTTTTAATTTCTTGAAAGTTGTTGGATCGAAATCCTGGAACCTCTTTGGTGGATTGTTGGAATATTGTGTATGTTATAACAGTATATTAAGTAAGTGCCTTTAAACACTTACAGTGATATTTCCATGCTGACGTGCCTAATTTTTTCGGCTGTTGAAAGTTGACATAATATTTAATAAAATGTTACTCGAAAAAGTCATTACTAGTGGCTTTAATTGTTTTATTTACCAGACTATCAGCCAGTTCGGTTGTATTATTGCTTTAATGAGCAACTATCATGAGAACAAACCAGCTGGGTTTTATCAGTTATAGCTAAACCCAAAATCGATAGCCCTTAACAATTGCGCAAGGGATTAATGCATTTTGCATCGCATTATTTTTTCAATTAAAAAAAAATTAGATGCTTAATTATCTGCGATTTATACAAAATAATATTGACAGCGATTAATAAGGGACTTTCCTGGCGTGGTTCGCACTTCGCTTGCAGTTTACTACTATTTATCATTGGCTAAATAAAAAACTGAAGAATTGTTAGGAAAACTGATACCTACCTATACCCGAAAATGAGAGAAACTGATGGAATTAATCGAATTTACGGATGATTGGTTGCGAAATTAAGGTGTGATATTTAGAGGCCGGCACACCCAAGCAGATAAATAAACAAGCAGAATTGCAATTGATCGAAAAAAAATTGCAGTGATATAAAATTTTCGTTTCGCAAATTTGGTACGTAACAATGCACAATCGGTTAATTGAGGAAAAAACAACCTTCGGTCGAGAGTTGCGGGAAAATGTCCGCTAAACTAAACCGCAAGTACTAATTTGTGTTTTACTGGAGAAATATTAACTGATAGAGGGTTTGGATGATATTAAATTCATTTCAAATCATATCTATTTTCGAAAACAAAATGTTAGCTCATTCACACTAAAATCGCCCGGACCACGGCGAAACTAAACTGGTCCAGATGTTTTTGCCAAAAATCTGATGATTGACATAAAAACACAGTTATATAACAATCACATGAGTTTGAACTAATATTTGGCTTTGGGAATTTTTTGGTAAAACGGAAGTGGGTTTGGATGTACTCCAACACCTGATTTACTCGGGCAGAACTATTTTTTGGGGCGTTTTCTAATGGTTTCACCCAATTAATTTCATTCGGTTGCCCTATTTAATAAACTAGAGATATTTATTTTATTATATTCTCCTCAAATTTCATATCTTATCTAACGAGCAAGATTTCAAATAAGTAGGAAAAATCCACCAATTATCGACAATATCAGTGCTATTTTATAGTTCACTAGCTTTTCCCTTAAAAATATGTTCACGTTTTGCTATACAGTTATATCTTTAATATCCCGGTGAGTACCAATTAGCCTACCTATTAATTAATATCTTTTCACGAATATGCAAAACTAATCTGACGTTTTTCTCGATTAGTTCCTGATGCAGTCACCTTGATAGATAATCCTGAGTTACCGCACATATTTATTAAACTCTCATGTGCATCACTTTCAATCAATCGTTGCAGCGTTAAAATTTAATTAAAAAAATAGAGCAAATTATATAATTGCGATCGTCATGTTTTGTGGGTTTATGTGTATGTGTAATTTACTGTCAAATAAACTAAAATTAATTTTCTGGAAAATTTTCAAAGCACTTGACCTTCGTAAATGTACATTTTTGCCAGCTGGCTAGATACGATTTGTTTTTGAGCTGAATGGAGCAGAAAACACCCGGATTATGTAATTATTTCAAATGGACGGTGTGAAGCCGATTGAAAACTACGTTAAAAAATAACAGAACTTTTATTGAAAAATGGAAATTTATCAGAAAACATGAATATTAGTATTAAATTAAATCAAATACTTAATAATAATAATAAAATATGCTTTTATGATCACGATAGATGACAATTTTCCCTTGGGATGCATTCAGTTTTTGTCCAAAACCCAAAAAGTTTATGTGTAACTTCAAGTTCATCCAAAGTGATTAAATTCCAGTGTGGAAATGTTTATTCATGTTATATTTCTTCAATTTGAACATATCTTAAAGAATGTAGCAAAAACGTATCTAAATACAAAAATTCTCAAATACAAAAAAAAGCAATTTCGTTCAAATATTTGCTCTTTTAATTCGTATTCACTTTAATGCTATTCCTGCTACTTTGTTCAGTGTTTGGTTTTCGGCAGTATCTAAAAATACCCTAAAATGACGATCCGTGGACAGACTGATGAGGGGCCGTAAGTTTCCTTTTGCATATTATTTCGCTTGGACTTTGGTAGTAATGCAAAAAATATAATTATAACAAACTAACACACATACTAGTCTGAATATTCAGTTATCTATACATATATCAACATTCGTTAAGCGATCTAAATCTTAAGGAGGCAGTAGATACTCGTTGATTCATAAAACTATTGTCAGACTAAATAATGCATATTTTCCAGTGCAGTTGAGCGATAACAAATGCAGAAAATATCAATTATGACGCCGCAATTGCATTTCCTGTGCACCAAACAACTTTTATAAGCCACACTATCAGCAGTTTGGCTGTCGCCAGTTTCAATTCCCATCAAATATTTCACATTCCAGATATTCCTTTTTTATAATTTTACTGAAAAGTGCTGAAATAGTTGAAAATCCAAAAAATTACTGTTTCCAATACCTGTTTACTTCAGCCTAATTTTAGCCCCAAGCCTAGCTGAGAAAATTTACCGGTTTGTTAGCGCATAAATTAATTATATTTTTTGGCAAAACAAAGGAATGTTTAAATCTTTTAATTAACGTCTGGTCGTCTGATTAACGAACTTGTCCACCAATTTCAAGCAGAACAATTGAATCTCTTCTAAATGGACCCAAATCTGTTTAATTTATGTAATTGAATTTAGAACTGAAATGCCATACAAACGGATTATCGCATATAGATTAAATTTAACCTGATCCTGGATTGATTCCCAGTTTAAAACCTTGGCATTCAGATTGCAAAAATTTGGCAATCCATAAGCTCTTTTAAAACACTTTTTCGACGAAAAAAAACTGTATGTGTGAGGTAAAACAGCTAAAGTCCATAAATTAATCATAACGTTATTATCATTTTAATTATCAGCTTATTAGGTAAATAGGTACTGCCAAAGTTGACGTCATTGGTAAGTCGCAAAAATTTGCTCAAGTTTGCGACAATACGCGTATAAAGTCACGTATTGGCACACACCTGTATCTTAACTACAAGAGGTGATTTCTCCAATTTAGAATCATATTTCTCAAAAATGATATAATCGTAACGATAATGCGATTAATTAGTCTTAATTAAATCTTAACTTATAATTGTCAGGCTTAAGCATACTTTCAATCTGGCATTGTAAATGGTTAACCAACTGGATCATTTTTCCACCTTCGAAAAAACTTTGATGGAAGAGCTTAATTTAACAGCTGTATTATTTTAATTGTATTTAACACTGAGAATTTCTGGAAATAATGTCATGATACAAATCACATTGATCCAGCTAGTTATTAATAATTTTTCATCATTTCTGGATACTGGAAACAGTGATTGAAATCTAACTTTCGCGTTGAATTTTCGTTATGCAGGTTTTTTAAAGGTTGTTAAACTGCCAGCAGAAGGTCGACTAAAATACCTCTAATTATGCAATCTATGCAGGACTTAGCGGTCGTGTTGCCTTAATTAAAAAGTAAATAAGGTAATCATGAGATATTACTTCATAAAACATGCGAATTGTCAAGTACTTGCTTGAATCACCTTTATCATGTAATCAAATCGATAAAAACATTTGTATTATACTTTGCCTGGAAACAAGACTACAAAACATCTAAATATAAAATGTACAGAAAACTTGGCTGGATCTTGAAAATAACAACGGACGATCCACCGTATATACATCCACAAGTTAAATAATTTTGCTCGATCAATTAGCCAAGCAAAATGTATAATAATGATTTAGGCGAAAAACTAGACATTTTCACAAGACTGGATTCAGTTCACCTTGACGGGGTAGATTTGGCTGGTATCCAAGGATCAATAGAAAAGGGGGTTGTAGGTTGATGTTATACGTTTAGCTTTAATTCTGCATCAAGGTTAGATCAGATTAAATATTTCTTTTGTGGGAATTTCATGATACTCAGTGTTCGTTAAGTTCCCAGCAAAATTTCTGGAAGAGATTTTTTGAGTGGTTTTAAGAAGAATAGAAAGTTTATATGAGTATAGGTTGCGAAATGATTCTTTTTAATGTACAGGATTTTTAAATTGTCGTCAATAACTTCATAATTTTTTTGTGGATTTTTTCAAATTTTGCAGTGCTATTTGCAAAGGAAGGGGGCTAATTTTTACAAAATAGATTAGAATTGTTATGCCCAGGAGCGCCTTTTTGAGCAACTTTTTTGATTTCACGCTTCTTTTGTGAGATAACAATTAAGACCCTTGAAATATAGAAATAAAAAAGTGCTTTTTTATAGTTTACCATCCTGAAAAGGAATCATTTCCAGTCCTCTTGAAAACTCCTGGAATTTGTCTACGAATTTAATTAACCCTCTGTATATCAAACATTTTCGTAGTTTTATTTCTGCGAGTGAATTTGAAATTCCATTAAAAATTTTGAAACGAAAACAAATTGGGAAAAACGCTGCAATTCTCAGGAGAATTTAATTGATTACGTGGAAGACTTGCTGGTGGCACCACGACAGATCAGAACTAATTATTATCTCCGATCGCAGAATTTGTAGTTAAGATTCGATTGAAACAAGTGGGTTTTTCGGGTTTTTAGGCCGTCGTTCGGTAGAATTTCTTCTTGACGTTTCGCAAGCACGTGTGGCTTGCATCTTCAGAAG